CCATCCATGTCTGAGGACAGCTCCATCTCTTCCACTGCCCAGTCACGTGAGAATAAATCCCCCATGTGGCTTGGCGGCTAACATGACTTAGGTTTCTGTCAGGTAGTAGCCAAACAATTCTGCCTAACACAGTCCTACTCAGTATCCTCTTCACGCACTCCCAGAGCCCTGGAATCTGGAGCTGCTCCATCTTGCCTGTAGCCACAGCCCTTGCCTTTGATTCTAAATCTGAACCCAGTTGTGAGAGACTATGAGATGCTGATCAGCCTCTTGTCTTATTTCCTCTATTGCCTGCCTTGTACCTCCCTGTCTTCTTTCATTATCCTGACTCTTTGCCTTTTCAGCCAGAGTGTAGACAGCCTCTGAACCCAGGACCCCATGACCAGAATGCTCCCCCTGTTGCTATATATATCGTGAGTATTACCTAAAGCTGTCCGGATTTCCGCATCTGGTCCACATTAGTCCTATTTGATGTCAACTACCTTCCCCCAGTCTTTGTGCATCGTGGGTCTACCCATTTCACAGATGGCCTAGCTGCAGTTATATCAACTTGAGGCCTCACAGTACATTGTAAGGCAGCATTTTCCAAGCTGTGTTCTATGGCAGGGGTCCCCAAACCCTGGGCTAGTGACCCATACTTGCCACGGCCTGTTGGGAAACGGGCTGCACAGCAAGAGATGAGCTGTGGGCCATCGAAGGTAGTTTCATCTGCTGTTCTCCATTGCCCACGTTACCACCTGAAACAGAGCCCCCCACCGCGCACACCCACCCCCTATCTGTGGAAAAATTGTCTTTCACAAAGTGAGTTCCTGTGCCCAAAAAGGTTGGAGACCAGTGTTCTATGGGACTTCATTCAGTGAGATGTAAATAAATATACGGTTAACATAGAGGGGGGAGAAAGCAGAGCCAGAAATACTTTTTCTTCAGTTTTATATTTTAAAAATATAAACAGTGGAGAAGCATTTTATGTGGGGGTTATCTTGTAGTCAGCACTTAAGGTAAAAATTGTGCCTTGTTAAAGCTGTCTATGGTAAATCCTTGAATTGTCCACCGCTACTGCTGCTGCTGCTGAGTCACTTCAGTCGTGTCCAACTCTGTGTGACCCTATGGACTACAGGCTCCTCTGTCCATGGGTTTCTCTAGGCAAGGGTATTGGAGTGGGTTGCCTTGCCCTCCTCCAGGCGATCTTCCCAACCCAGGGGTCAAACCTGGGTCTCCTGAATTTCAGGCAGATTCTTTACTGCTGAGCCACCCTAAATTGTCCACAAAGCATAGCAAACAGATCTTCCACCTCCCCATGAGTTCATCAGAGCCAATTTTCCCTTCAGCTCTGGAACAAATTGCTGTTTTTCCAGTTTTGCTCTAGGTGAAGGTGAAGGAGTTGGCTTATTTTAGGGGATGTTTTGGGTGGAAAACATTTACAGGTAGGGTGGCAAGATGCTCACTCTTATGAGAGGCATGCGGGAACAGAGACTGAGGGAACCCCATCACGAGCTTAGTCCCAGGCACCCAATTGTTGAATCATTGCACTGTTTAAATTGTGCTGTCTCTGCAGATGTATAGAACAGTCTTTTGGACTCTGTGGGAGAAGGCGAGGGTGGGATGATCTGAGAGAATAGCACTGAAACATGTATATTATCACGTGTGAAACAGATCGCCAGTCCAGGTTCGATGCATGAGACAGGGTGCTCAGGGCTGGTGCACTGGGATGACCCAGAGGGATGGGATGGGGAGGGAGGGTGGGGAACACATGTACACCTGTGGCTGATTCATGTGAATGTATGGCAAAACCACCACAATATTGTAAAGCAATTAGCCTCCAATTAAAATAAATAAATTTAAAAAAATTAAAAATAAATAAATAAATAAATTGTGCTTTCTCTCCATGCTCCTGTGGATCATGTACAGCTGAACTTGAGGGAATTAAATGCTCTTAAGATAAATTTCCACCATATGAAAGAAAAATATTTATCATTGTAAGGTGTTCTCATAATAATCTGTTCTTATATATACAATAATCTCCTTTTAAGACATTGCGTGCTAGGCCCAAGAATACCGGGAGACCACATCACAGTGTGGAATTGTGACATGTGATCTATGTATCGACTCATAAGGGAGCATTTACTAACTATGTTCTTTATTATCTGTTCAGTGATATCTGGTCTAAGTAATATGTTTTATTTTAGAATTTTAACATACATGCTTATTATTTATTGAATAGTAGACATATGACTCGAATAATGATCATCCTAGTAATATTATTAAGAAGAACTGCGTTTCGGCCAGAACCGCCATCTTCCAGTAATTCGCCAAAATGACCAACTCAAAGGGAAAGAGGAGGGGCACCCGCTACATGTTCTCTAGGCCTTTTAGAAAACATGGAGTTTAAAAAAAAACAAAACATGGAGTTGTTCCTTTGGCCACATTCATGCGAATCTACAAGAAGGGTGATATTGTAGATATCAAGGGAATGGGTACTGTTCAAAAAGGAATGCCCCACAAATGTTACCATGGCAAAACTGGGAGAGTCTACAATGTTACCCAGCATGCTGTTGGCATCATTGTAAACAAACAAGTTAAGGGCAAGATTCTTGCCAAGAGAATTAATGTGTGTATTGAGCATATTAAGCACTCTAAGAGCCGACATAGCTTCCTAAAACATGTGAAGGAAAATGATCAGAAAAAGAAGGAAGTCAAAGAGAAAGGAAAGGGACTTGGGTTCAGCTGAAGCGCCAGCCTGCTCCACCCAGAGAAGCACACTTTGTGAGGATCAATGGAAAGGAATCCGAACTGTTGGAACACATTCCCTATGAATTCATGGCCTGAAGGGTGTAAAAATAAAGACCTGGACTGTACAAATGTTTCTCTTAATTGAGTAGAGGTGTTGTGTCCAAATTCAGTGGGTGATGTCTTTTCAAACTTAGTGTTTTTTCTTCTTTAAAGATGTAAGATAGTTTGTTGTTCAGTATGCTCCATTTTTTAATAAATTGACAGATATTTATAAAAAAAAAAAAAAGAAGAAGAAGAACTAACACTTGGTAAGGCCTGGCCATATGTTGAGTATTTTTCACAGCTGTTTTACATTTTATTAATTCTTTTAACTCTCACAACCATTATTCCAATTTTACAGATGAGGAATCAAGGCTCAAAAAAGTGAAGGATTTTTGAATCCACATTTCCAGATCTCAAATCCAAGCTTGGGCATGGTTACTTTAAAAGTCAAAGGAGAGAGTGTTTATGAAAGTACCTATTATATTCAAAAAGATTATTTTTTAAAAAGAGCTATCATTTGTGAAGCTCTTACCCGACGCTAGGCATTGATAAGGGCTTATTAGGCCTTTTCTTGTGTAATTATCGCAACAGTGCTATGAAGAGATGCAGAACCTGAGGCTCTGAGAGGTTAAGTGACTTAGTCAAGGAAACTTAGCCAGGCTTATGAAATAAGTTGCTTTAACCTTTAACTGGTAAACTACACTGTCTCCTAATAGATTCAAGTTATCATCATCACCGCCATCATCACAGGGAGCAGGCAGGGGTGCTTTAGCCATTAGGGAATTATGAGTAAAAAATCACAATGAAGACTTCATTCGTGGTGCAGTGGATAAGATTCTGCCTGCCAATGCAGGGAACATGGTTCAATCACTAGTCTGGGAATATTCCACATGCCGCAGAGCAACTAAGCCAATGGGCCACAACTACTGAGCCCACGAGCCACAATTGCTGAAGCCCATGAGCTTGTGCTCTGCAACAATAGAAGCCAGTGCAGTAAGAAAGCCTGCACGCAGCAATGGAGACCCAGCACAACCAAAAATAAAATAAATTATTTTGAAAAATCACAATGAATTAATCACTCACTAGGATGCCTATACTCCAAAAGACAGACAATAGCAAGTAATAATGAGGATGTGGGGAAAATGGAACATACGTTGTTGGTGGGAAAAGAAATGGTGCAGCCGCTGTGAAAAACAACTGAGTAGTTTCTCAAAAGGTTAAAAATAGAGTTTACCGAAGGATCCACCAGTTCCATTTATAGGTACATACCCAAGAAAACTGAAGACATGTTCATACACAAACATTCATAGCAGCACCATTCATCATAGCCTAAAACTGGAAACAACCCAGATTTCCACCCCACAGTGGTATATCCATATAATGAAGTATTACTCAGCCAAAAAAAGGAATGCAGTAGAGATACATGTTCCAGCATGGATGAACCTTGAAAACACGATGCTAAGTAGAAGCAGCCAGACACAGAGGATCACAGATTGTATGATTCCATTTATATGAAATATCCAGAATAGACAGATCCATAGAGACTGAAAATACAATAGTGGGTGCCTAGAGCTGCAGGGAAATAGGTGGATAAAAGTGATGGTTAAGGGATGTGGGAGTGGTTTTTTTGAAGTGATGAAAACATTCTGAAATTGATTATGGTGATGGTTGCATGACTCGGACTATACTAAGAATTACTGAATTGTACACTTTAAACGAGTGACTTGTTTGGTATGTGAATTATACCTCAATAAGATGTTTAAAAAAAAAAAAATCAAAGAAGGTCTTCTTGACACCTGGGAGGGCCTAAAGTGAATTTACAGGTCTGATCCTATTCCTCCCTGAAGTGGTGATGACTCACATAGATGACAGCCTTATACCAGGCGCACCCTGAATCCTTTATTCCTCTGCTGGAATCCAGGGTGTTGCCCTGCATTTTCCCACGTTCCCCAGGCATGCCCTGACCCAGCTTGCCCCAGCAGGCCTGGGTTAGAACCCAAAGTGTCATACTCCCTTCCCGTGGCTTCTTCCTGCAGCCTACTGGCACTGCTTCCTCCTGCCTGCTGCTTCCTCCCTCAACTCCCACTCCTCCCCAGCTGGCTGTCAGCCTCACATCTCAGATTTTAAAACCTCAAGGAATTCAGGATGTGCCCCAGAAGCTGAACCTTGAGGTTTTCTGTGCTGCCAGCCACTGCAGAGACTTAGGGTCATCCCCACATCCAACTTACCCAATGTAAGAAAAGAGCACCACGTGGAAGAACCATTTAATGGTGCCATAAGTCTTGCTTTGGATCCGGATGATTTTGTCTGTCTCATACTGGAAAACATCATTCCAGCTGCAGCAGGCTGTCATGGTGAGAGGCTCGCTGTCCACTCAGGGCTGGACCAGGGCTCAACCCTCCCAGACCGGCCACAGCAGACCCGCCAGGATGAGGAGAGTGAAATGTCCGGATTCTTAGCAGAAGGCTTTAAGTTTGAGTTCCTCCAATGACGGCAGAGAGGGGGCGGGTCTTGGCAATTGCCCCAGAAGTGTCAGGGAATAAACAAGTGAAGCCAAGTGCTACGGATGCCCACGCCCCAGCCGGCCTCCCCCAGATGCCTGCACAAAGATGGTGTTCAAAGGAAGGGCATTTTAAGAATTCTGCCTTATCCCCTTTTCCCTTTCACTATTTTTTGGCTCATTTCAGCTGGGGTAAAGGGGCAACCCTTTAAATGTCAGGAGACCCACTGTGCTTTAAAGAACACAGATCTTTCCATTGCCTCAAGGCCCACTCAGAGACAGATCGGTTCATTTCTAGAACCCTTTATTCAGCCTCAGATGTATGTGAACACTGGATGAATGAAGGTCTCCCCACTCCTTCCTCCCTCACATCTTCACAACACTCTGTTCTGTTTTGCTGGGGGCTGGGTTTGGGAGAGGACTTTATTTCTGTGGGGACTATTTCCTGCCAACCCTCTAGATCCACTTTCCACCCTGCTTTATGCCCTGGGAGGTCAACCCATGACCTACCCAGTCAGCCTAAAAGAAACAAACCTGCCATCCAACAAAATTAGATTTATTAATCCGTTTGATGAAGGCATGTACATCATCAATCAAAGGGATGGAGTTCTCATCAGATTCTGGGAAAGGTGGAGTTTAGATCAAATTTAAATGAAAGCAAGTTTCCTAGGTGGCTCAGTAGTAAAGAATCTACCTGCCAATGCAGGAGCCACAGGGTTTGATCCCTGGATTTGGTAAGATCCCCTGGAGAAGAACATGGCAACCCACTCCAGCATTCTTGCCTGGAAAATCCCATGGACAGAGGAGCCTGGCGGGCTGTAGCCCGTGGGGTTGCAAAGAGTTAGACATGACTGAGCAACTGAGCATGAGCATGCACAAGTTTTCACAGGCTCAGAGCAAAGCAGGTTTATATGAAACGGCCAACTTCAGATCTGGATTGCAAAATGGACCCAGGGCCCTATTTCCTTGGAAGCAATAAAGCTAAGACAGTTGTCGACTGTTGTTTCCAGAAACCCTTTATCGGAAGTTCTGCACCTGAGCTGCAAATCGAGACTGCCTTTCTGTGTCAAGATGACTTAGGTTCCCCAGGCAAAACAGGAACTTACATTCTTTTTTGTTTTTTTTTAAATATTTATTTATTTGGCTGTGTTGGGTCTCAGTTGCAGCACACAGGATCTTCGTTGCATCATGGAGGATCTTTCATTGTGATGCATGGACTCTCTAACTGTGGTGCATGGGCTCTAGAGCACCCAGATTCACTCACTGCAGCACCCAGGCTTAGTTGCCCTGAGGCATGTGGGATCTTTGTTCCCCAGCCAGGGATCCTACCCAGGTCCCCTGCATTGCAAGGTGGATTCTAAACCTCTGGACCACCAGTGAAATCCCAGGAACATTTCATTCTTACTGATGTAATTTCAAATAGCAAAGTTTCTGATAGTCTGTGATTTTATTTTATTTTATTTTTTTGATAGTCTGTGATTTTGGAGGATGACGTTTCTCAGTGAGTAACAAAGCAGCAGCCACTCACTCAAAGATGAGGAGTATTATTACCTTGTGTGTGCTAAGTCACTTCAACAGACTGTAGCCCGCCAGGCTCCTCTGTCCATGGAATTCTCCAGGCAAGAATACTGGAGTGGGTTGCCATTTCCTTCTCCATTATCATCTTGTAGCTATACAGAAATGCTGTTTCTTGTTTCCTTTGCAGTGGAATTTATCCATTTCTGCTCTTCCTGCCTGCTAAGTAGCCAGGCAGATTTTTACTTTTCCAATCTGAGTTGATTTTACTTTCTCACCTGCTGTGTCAGGGACTCCCTTACCTCCCAGCTCCCAGTTCAGGAGGCAGGAGAACAGGAGGACAGTGAGGTTACATATGTGTTTTCTTGACTTCTGTCCACCCAACTGCACATGGTAGGACTTCTGGGCACCACTCCCTCCTTCTCCCTTCAGGCTCAGATTTGGTTGCCAGCCCCAGGGGGCTCACCATCTCTTAATGGTTTTTCTGAACTCTGCCCACACTCTGTAAATGGTCCCATCATTAGTTATCTTGCTGGAGTACACCATTGCTTTCCTGCCAGGACTCTGAATAATACAGTTATCTTCATCTGTGTGAAGAGGAGATCCACAGTAAAGCTTGACAGTTAGAGCACAGGTGCTGAGGGATGAGGGATTAATTGTCTAGCTTCTTTTTAAAATTAATAATTTTTTTATTTGGCTGTTCTTGGTCTTGGGCTTCCCTGATAACTCAGTTGGTAAAGAATCCGCCTGCAATGCAGGAGACCCCAGTTCGATCCCTGCATTGGGAAGATCCCCTAGAGAAGGGAAAGACTACCCACTCCAGTATTCAGGCATGGAGAATTCCATGGACTGTATAGTCCATGGGGTCGCAAAGAGTCGGACACGACTGAGCAACTTTCATTTTCACTTTCTTCAGTCTTAGTTATGGCATGTGGGATCTAATTCCCTGACCAGGGATCAAATCCAGGCCCCCTGCATTGGAAGTGTGGAGTCTTAGCCACTGGAACCTTGGACAGTGCTGCTTGTGCTGTTCTTTCATTCATTTCCAAGAGTACCCATCGCTAGTGATATAGTAGTGAATAGGCAGATAACCCAAATTTCCATCAACAGATGAAAGTTTTTTTTAAATATGATCTATACAATGGAAGATTATTGAGCCATAAAAAGGAATTAAGCGCTGATACATGCTACAACATGGATGAATCTTATAAATATTATGCTAAGTGAGAGAAGCCAGACACAGGTTACATATTGTATGATTCTAAGACATGTTCAGAATAGGCAAATCACTTCAGTATAGCCCTTATCCACCACCCAAAGACATCTGTATTTTTTCTAGAGTTTTTGCTGAACTGTTATGCTGATCCCTTGTGCTCTTCCCTCTCTGCTTCCTCAGCCCTCTGTCCACTATTTCCCCACCACCAGCACTTCATGGATACTGTTTTTTATTTTCTTTTATTATTATTATTTTTTATAAAGGCATTTAGTTTATTTTTCAAAAAATATTTTTGCTAGAAGGTTTGAGTCATTTTACATGATCACAATCTTTAAATAAATATTTTCTGACCAAAAAGTACCATTTAAGTGGACAGCTTGTCTAGATCTGCTTTTGTTAACACCCAAATACAATTAGCATGTCTGATGGTATTCCCTAGATCTTCTTAACTTATCTACAGGCCAGGAGGCAGAGCCTAGCACATAACAAAGTATGTGCTTTATAATTGCTGATTAGTTCAGTTTCATAGCAATTAAACAGAGCAGGTAGTCAGTATATCTAATTCACACTATTAACACACTGGTTCTTGCCTGAAGGGTCTGATCCATGCAGAGCTCCCAGTTATTTCTTCTGACCCAGGAAGTAGTAAACCACAACTGCACAGGGGGACAGCTCTACTTAGGCTAGTGCTGGCGATGTCTCAGGTCTATTCCTTTGTTTCAACTATGAATTCAAGGTGATCAGTATTAATTATATTCAATGATACATAGAAAATAAAAAGCAAAGCCAAAAAAAAAGATTTGGGGACTGCTGGCAGCAAGCAGCTCCTGCTTCTCCCTTTCTTAAGAGAAGACTGGTTCTCTATGAGAGAACTAAAAGTGAAAGTGAAATCGCTCAGTCGTGTCTGACTCTTTGAGACCCCATGGACAGTGGTCGTTCAGTCGTGTCTGACTCTTTGCGACCCCATGGACAGTAGCCTACCAGGCTTCTCCGTCCATGGGATTTTCCAGGCAAGAGTACTGGAGTGGGCTGCTGTTTCCTTCTCCATGGATACTGTTTTTTATAAACTTATCAATTCTCAGTTGCTAGATTTAGTGTATATATTGTATTTCTTATTTTCCTTGATCTCTTGGACACATTCAATACCATTGACCACTCTACTGCTTGGAGCAAACTCTTCCCTTGATTTCCACAACTCCCCTGGATCCCATCTTCTCCTAGATTCTCATTTTTACTTCTCTGTTTCCCTTATCTTCCTATGGCTCTCACTGTTGGTTCCTGTGAATTATGTGTCAGCATTTTAATATTTCTATCAGTCAGGAAAGGACAGGTTATGCTGCAATAGCAAGCAACCTCCCTAATCTCATGGTTTAAAACAATACCAGTTTTTTTTTTTCAATGACAGTTTATTTTTCATCCATGCAGTGACCATGGGGGGGTCACCCAGAAGGTTTTGCTCATTGTAGTCACCCAGAGACTAAGACTAATTGAACAACCAGTACCTCAAACTCTTGAATGAGCATTTAAATGCTCGCTTGACAACTCCTCCAGCTCAACTCCAGAAAAATAAATGACCCAATCAAAAAATGGGCCAAAGAACTGAACAGACATTTCTCCAAGGAAGACATACAGATGGCTAACAAACACATGAAAAGATGCTCAACATCACTCATTATCAGAGAAATGCAAATCAAAACCACAATGAGGTACCATTACACGCCAGTCAGGATGGCTGCTATCCAAAAGTCTACAAGCAATAAATCCTGGAGAGGGTGTGGAGAAAAGGGAACCCTCTTACACTGTTGGTGGGAATGCAAATTAGTACAGCCACTATGGAAAACAGTGTGGAGATTTCTTAAAAAGCTGGAAATAGAACTGCCATATGACCCAGCAATCCCACTTCTGGGCATACACACCGAGGAAACCAGATCTGAAAGAGACACGTGCACCCCAATGTTCATCACAGCACTGTTTATAATAGCCAGGACATGGAAGCAACCTAGATGCCCATCAGCAGACGAATGGATGAGGAAGCTGTGGTACATATACACCATGGAATATTACTCAGCCATTAAAAAGAATTCATTTGAATCAGTTCTAATGAGATGGATGAAACTGGAGC